AGGGGCTTAATTTGATTTTATGCCCAAAAAACATGCTGGGCCTTCCTATTGGTGGAGGCCGTATTGTTGGAGAAACACGGTAGTTGAGCAATATCGGAGAGCCACAGTTTTCTCAGCTTTTCATGAAAGTCCTTGTTCAGCTGATCAGCATTTTGCATTCATATTCCATGAGAACCTTTTCAGTCCTGCTCTGCTTTTCTAACCTCCTCCCCATGTTTCTTCTGTCTCAATTCTTATTTTATAATCGTAGGAACATGAGATAAGAAGGGGATATCTGTCTGATCTGCCCCCAGTCAGAATGCAATGTGTGTGTGGATTAAGTTCTAAGTATCTAAGTTGCTCTAAAGGCCAGCGAAAACAATATCTTTTCAAATTAAAAAAAACTATCATAACGAGGAGAAAATACCCATCTCCACTCTTTGCCAGCCCTCCTGTAGCTTTCTGTTTATTGTTTGTTTCATCCAGATGGGAGAAATGCACCCTATTGTTACAGAAGCCATTCCAAGCTTCCCCAATAACGCAGATAAAGGCTTGGTCACGCTTTTGTCTGAATGATCTTTTGGGTTCTGAAAGAAATTAAACAGACATCACTAAATGTCTCATCTCTAAACCTTCCAGTGTTCCAATATTTGAGGGGCTGCCATAGAGAGGAAGGGAGTCAAGCTATTTTCTAAAGCACACCTGCAGGCCAGACAAGGAATAATGGATAGAAATTGAACAAAGAGAGATTCAACCTGGAAATAAGGAGAAACTTTCTGACAGGGAGAACAATGGAACAGAAGTTGCCCTCGGAAGTTGTGGGAGCTTCATCACTTGAAGCTTTCAAGAAGAGACTGGACTGCTATTTGTCAGAAATGGTGTAGGGTCTCCTGCTTGGGCAGGGGTTGGACTAGATGACCTACAAGGTCCCTTCCAACTCTGATTATCTGTTATCTGCTAAATCTTCTGGCTATGGCCAGAATAAACCACTAGGATTTACAAGAGGGAAAAAATCACAGGTGTGGGTAGCTTGGTAGAAGCCATTCTGCCTTCTAAACAAGACCTCGGCTCATGATTTTTTTCATTAAAATCATACTTGCTTGCATCCAAACTTGGAAGCCACGGAGCTGACCTCTCGGAAACTCAGTATGACTTTATTTCTGTCCTTTCTTTAATACTAAAAAACAACCCCATGCTTGCCAAACATTCCAAACAGTCCTATGCTCTTTATTATATAGCACCAAACAGATGTCTCCAAATAAAATAAAAAACAGATCTCGTTGTGTCAGATTCATCTGAGTTACACACTCAGCTGTTCAGGTCTGTTGTTGCAGTTCATAAGAGTTTCAGGGAACAAAGGAATGATTTTTTCTCTCCTCCACACCAGGGGTTAGCGTGGAGGGGGGAAGTTGTTTTTCGGCTCATTTTGCCTCCTTCCTGAGGTTAGAGTCACCAGGATCTTTGTTCCCCCAATAAATAAAGGATGCTAATTTCACATTTTTTCTCTCAGAAGGCCATTAAGAAGGTGTTTTTATCCTCTCTCTCGTCCATGCTGAGAGGAGGCTGAAAGTTCTCCCTCATAAATAGAAGGAAAGGAAGTGTGACAGGCCTTTCTAGAATCATCTCTCGGTTACATCAGCTTCCCCAACTGCCTTTTGCGAGGAAAAGTACCACATTTTTCAAGGTTGTATAAGTAATTTGGGACATGCAGTGCCTAAATTGGAGAGTGGCTGCTGATTCCCTGCCAAAAACAGCATTGCTGGGGGGGGGAAAAGGATGTTGGTTTGTGTAACATTTGCATCCGCTAATGGATAGTCCTAGAGGCATCTTTAGAAATAATTGCTAGGTTTTAAGTAAAAGTGCAAAATATTTCATTACAGCAGATGAAGGCAATGTCCAAATAATCTGTGCGTCTGCTACTCAGTCTACCATCCAGGCATGAATGGTTGGTTGGGTGACTTTGGTGGTCCCAGTTGCTTTCCCTTCTATATTTCATTTGGAAGATTGTCTATGGAGATTCTCAATCATCCAAGTGAAGGTTGTCCCAAGTTCTGAAGAAGCTTCTTGGATGAGAAGCAAAACATTTTCAAGGAAAGAAACAACTAAGTTCACTTGCCTTTCAAACAGTATCTTTGGGACAGGCTGGATGACTCTTTATGAAGAGGACATCTTGAAAGCTGGAGCATTATCCAGAGATTTCAACAAAATACAAGTGGCAGCCACAACCATGTTTATTGTGACCACTGTCTTGGTTTTTTTAAATCCTTCCCCGCATTCTTTTTTTTTTTTTTTTTTGAAGAATTTTCATCCTGCAAATTGAATGCAGTCACCCAGTATTTTCATTTTCTACAGCCAGGCTGAAAATAGACATATTAGCAGTTTAGTGCTTTGCTTTACAATGGTTGACATCCTGCTTTTTCTAACTGACATGGCAAAAGGTTAAAAATCAGCTGGGACTGAGGATCAAATGGGTGTCCTGCGTTATTTCCATGGATGTATTGATGTCCATGAGACCAATCACTGACTCCAATGTCAGCTACTACCAGAAACATGTAATGATAATGATTTATTTTTGGCCAATGATAAAGCCAAGAAGTTGGTTTCATTCTGGCAGTTTAAAGTTTGATCTAGACATGGAAGAAAAAGAACTGACTCTAAGAACTGTATGTGGCTCTAGTGAATAGAACATGAGATTATAATGAAAAACTAGAAATAGATTGAAAGAGGCTGATCTGGACTCACCAGTGATGTGCATGACAATAAATTACAAAATGTGGTGCTGGAACATTAGCAGATAAAATAGCCTGTTTGAATTCTACCCTCAAAATTTTGTCCATATACTTTGCTGCCAATTCACGGAGTGTCTTATGTCCTCCAAAGCGCTGCATTAACCCAGCCCATGAATTGCACCAATGAAATGCACTTTTCCCACTGCTTGGTAAGTAAGTTTACCAATGTAATTTTATTTAAACAACCATTTGTCTTCCCCTCCCCCTGCTCCGTTTCAATTAAGGGAGATCATGTTTCTGAGAAGGAAATGAATTTTTATGCAGTCCATATGATGTCCCCCCCGCCTAATCAGATTTGTTCACTACATGACAATGGAGGGAAAATATTTGCTAGAAAGGCACGCTGTAGCTTGATGTGCATGCCTGCAGGAATCGAAGTAGGACAACTGTTCCCCTCCAGACTGCACGCTGGTGCACGTCTTGCACAGTTGATACCCACAGTAATCAGAATGTTGATAATACCAAAAAACCCATTCATTCTTTTTTCTTTTCTTTTCTTTTCTTTTCTTTTCTTTTCTTTTCTTTTCTTTTCTTTCCTTCTTTCTTTCTGTCGAACTGTCCTTTACAAAGTCTGCATTACTATTACTATTAATCTTCTCATCACTCTTTATCACCCATCCCCTCCTACTGTGACTGTATGACTGTAACTTTGTCCCTTGTATCCTTACAATTTATATTGACTGTTTCCTAGTATGATTTGATTGCTTATTGTACCCTATGACTATTATTAAGTGTTGTACCTGATGATTCTTGACTCTTGATGAATGTATCTTTTCATTTATGTACACTGAGAGCATTTGCACCAAGACAAATTCCTTGTGTGTCCAACCACACTTGGCCAGTAAAGAATTCTATTCTATTCTATTCTATTCTATTCTATTCTATTCTATTCTAT